TCCTTTTCCTGGCTCCTTCCTGGGGATGAAGCAGGAGAAAAGGCTGTGCTGCCCCGGTACCCCTCACGCTGTCAGCTGCCTGTCTCCCCCCGACCCACCCCACGCCGGCGCAGGGGCTGTGCAGCAGCTCGGCAGTGACATTTATTAACAGAGGGGGCTTTGAAACAGGCAGGCTGCTCCTGCAAAGGCTCCTCGCTCTCCCTCCGTCTCCTCCTCTCGCCAGCCCATCTGAGGCAATGGCTGCTGGCGTTGAAATTCATTAGTGTTCCCTGACAGGCGATGGAGGCTCGCTCTGTCTGTTCCCACTTCCCTGCTCTCATGTCCCTGCTTCACGCACGCTGATATTTAAAGCTGATGTGCGGCTCGTAGGCTTGCTGCGCTGTGACAAGTTTGGGGGTGGCTGAGAGAGCTGAGGGTGGAAGGGAAGCACAGAGAGGCGGGAGGGAAGGAGAAGGGACCTGTCTCAGGGCTTCTGTGCAAACCCGGGGCTTTTCAGACCCTCTCCAAGGCAGAGATCCCAGCCTGTGCCAAAGGAGAGCAGCGCTTCTGCACCAGGTCCCTTCATGTCTTGACCATCCTCTCTCTGAATTGTGGAGCCAGGGCAAGGTGTCTTGGCAGCTCTCCTATTCGGTACCACCTTGCTGCTGTTCTGTGCTGCCTCCACGCAGCTCCGTTCAGGCTTTGCAGCCCTCCTGCAGCACAGGATTCCCAGGGCAGGAGTGTCCCTGCCCTCTCCTTTGCAGCCCGGTGCAGCGGGGTTGGCCAGGACACAATTAAAATGTTCTGCATCTCTTAACATCTCTTACGACTCAAGGTCTCCAGGGCGTGGATTCATATTTTATTTTTGAAGGCTGCGACCAGGTCTATAAATATCAAGATTTAATGTCCCTTTATCTTTCCCAAAGAGGGACTTGTGCTTTTAACTGGCTCAATATCAATACACCCAGTGTGTAGAAAGTGGCCCAATTTCTTTGTCTCCTGACATCCTGAACCCAGAAGCAGATGGACGTTAACCAGCTCTGATGAGGTGGGAGAAGCGAGCATTAATTTTTTATACGCCAGGACCACCTGAGTGACGGAAATCAATTACGGCCGGCCCTCCCCCTTCCATATTAATGTGGTGGCTCCGAGCAGAGGCGGAGGGACCTGTTGAAATGAGAAACCCCTATTTCTTGGTTTGACCCCCCAGATAATTAGGGTTAAATTGATATGCTATCGCGCTGGTGACACATTTTATCTGCCTCTGTTTGTACAAGAGGATACAATAGTGGAGGAAGGACCAATTTGTGCCCTGCTCTAGCTAACCAGACCGAGATAAAAGGTGTCACTAGTACGATAACGTTCTTGCCTCACACTCCTTTTTGTTGCTCAATTTGCCTTTTTTTTTTTTTTTTTTAATCCCATTCTTTCTTTCTCTCAATACCCTTGGTCATATTTTAACTCCATGCCATCGCATAATGATGCCCTGCTAAATGTGTGTGGAGATAGGCACCTCTGGCTGACAGCCTTCCCCGATAACCGAATTCCAGCCCATCCATCACCGGGCTGCTCTCCTTAACTTAAGGAAAGTGATAACTAAAGCAAGGCCGTTTATCACCGCCGAGCCGCGCGCATCTCGCCTCGCAGAGAGCTGGCTGCAGCGGGAGGGATGCAGCCGTCCGACCTCGCCTCCCCTCCCCTTTGCATCTCAGGCCCCATTTACCCCGCAGCGTGGGGACGGAGGAGCAGGGCTGGGTGGAAAATAGAGCCCGGGGTGGAAAAGCCCACAGTCATTTTCAGGTTTTTCTTTTTCAGGTTTCTCTTTATCACTTGCAGTCCTAAAATCAGAATATCCCGAGCTGGAAGGGGACCCGGAAGGATCCTCGAGTCCAGCCGTACCCGAAGCACGGTGTTTGGCTGATGGGAAGGTTTGGAGAGCCAGCTTCCTTCCCAGGGAGCGAGAACTTTAGTTTTTTGGGGGGAACAAGACTTCATTCAGAAGCTGGAGGCATCACGGATGCTGATGAAGAGAAATGGGGTGCTTCTCCTCTGCTGCCCAGGGAAGTCCCCATCCCTGGGGGTATCTCAGAGACACGTGGAGGTGGCACTGAGAGCCGTGGTTTTGTGATGGGGCTTGGTAGGTTGCTCTTGGCAATCTTGGAGGCCTTTTCTAGCCTAGATGAATCTGTGATCTGCATCCTGAGCTCTTTGCTCAAACGCAGCTGTCCCAGTGATGGAGGTTGAGTTTTGCCTTAGTGGGAAGCTCGTCTGCCAAATGAGCTGCCCAAGTCAACAGCAATCTTAATAAATAGATCCTCATAAATAGATGCACTTCCTTACAGGCAGTTTCATTCCCCAGGACAGCCACAGGTGTGCCCCGTTCACTCCAACCTGGAGAAGATGCTGGGGAGCGTGGGACCACTGCAGATGACAGGAGGGGAAGAGACCCTGCAGGGGTGATCTTTTGGGGCCCTGCTTTCTGTGCAGGGAGAGCCCCCCACTCCCCAGTCCTCTGCTGGGAGCACTGTGTACCCAGACTGGATGGACCAGACCCCCAGGATGTCCCTTTGCTATGGACGAGCCACTTGATGGCCATATCCCTGCTGGCCTGGAGCCACCAGACCTGCATCTTTCAGCTCAGGAGGCAGACGGAGGCTTTGGTCCATGCTGCTGCCAGCCTGCCCAGCTTTCAGCACAAGTGTGGAGCTCACAGTGCTTTGAAAACTTCGTGAGGTCTCTCTGGTGCTGGTGTGAAATGAGGGGAGCAGAGGCACGGAGGGGGATGGGGAACGTCCTTAGGTCACGCAGCTCCGTAGGCAGTTTCTGGGGTTGTTCCTTGTTTGCAAAAAGGGGTCATTTATTTAGTTGACATATTTATTTGGGACATTTATTTTCTCCAATTAAAGACCCACTGTCCAGCGCCCAGGGCGGACTGCCATCAGTCTCAGGGTGGAGGAAGGACCAGGCTGTCCAGCTCCGTGGGCCTTTTGGTCCCCCGGGGAAGGAAACCCTTTAGATGTCATTCATTGCGCCGGGCGGGTAGCTGTCAAGTCCTGTGGCTAACAGCAGCGATGCTGCACTCGCTCGTCCTGGGCCCCATCCAAATGTTAGGCAAGACAATAATTATTCCTCTGAGCGGAGCCGGGCTGAGAGCTGTATTAATGAAAATCTCTTGGGCTGGGAGGAGAAACCGAGCTTTTGGTAATCAAAACCAAAACCCTATAGAAAGCAGCTTTCTTAGGATGCTGGTTGGGCTCGGCGGGGTCTGTTCCACTCGGGGATGTCATGGACGTGTGCGTAAAGGCTGTAAAATGCATGGGCCGGGCTGCTTGTTATGTGACGGCTGTGCAATTGCGAGGAGTGACTCCAGGTGGTTGATTTCAGAGCGATGGTGCTAGCATCAGATGAGCCGTGCCCGGAGATGAGAGCGTGCTGTCAGGTCACATTGCTTACCCTGCAAATCGCCTCCGTCCTGCTGCTTGCAGGCTCATTCCTGTGACAGGCGTCCTGCTTTCATAGATTCCTCTGGACCTCCTTATTCAAATGTGCTTGTGTGACATAAATCACTGCTCCTAAATGATGCCCTCTGCATCTCTACAGGACCAGGCGTTTGGGTTGGGCATGCAGAATCTATTCTGTAGTCAAAGCAGGGCTTGCAAAGCTGGTGTGTTATGGCCACGGGAATATATGGCCACATATTCCTGGGAGGTTCCCCTGGGTATGTTTGCCAGCTTCCAGCCTTTTCTTCCCATGGAAATGGAGGCAGCCCACACCAAACTGCTCCGTCAGTACCACTGACGTTATCCACAAGTGCAGCCCTCTCTCCTCTCCTAACCAGTGCAGTGCTGTAGGTCTGAAGAGCTGCTGCCCTGTCGCTCAGAGGGTTTGGGGCTGGGCTGAGCTCCCGGTGATTGTTTGGGGGTCAAGTTGGTGTGTACCCAGCTTGTGCTTCCATCTGAGCAGAGCTCGTTCCTGAATTTCAGCCTGGAAGCTGAAGCCTGGAGTATCCAGGCTTTGCCCTGTGCAGAGAGAGAGAATTCTTTGCCCCAGACAGGGTCTGTGCTGGGATGTTTGAGCAGCTGATGCTGGCACTTGCAGCTCTGCCCTCCTTCCCTACAGCCTCCCCCTACAGTCCCCACACGGCCAAGGAAGTTGTAAGACTTCCCCACCCCCTCTGTTTGCAAAAGCCAGTTTCTGGGGTTGTGGCTTTTAACATGCACAAACGGGTCTAATTTAGTCATTTATTTAGTTGACATATTTATTTGGGATGTTCCTTTGCTTCAGTTAAGGATCCTGTGACCGGTGCCCCAGGCGTGCTCGGCAGTACGTGAATGAACAAGATCCATCAATTACTCCTGATCGGATCAAAGCGGCCGGGGAAGCCTCCCATAACTCATCTCGGCTGGAGTCGCGGGGCTTTGCGGCTCAGCCTTCCCCGTGCGCTGGCGGAGAGGGACAGTTCCGAGCTGGTGCCGGGTGGGAGAAGCTGCTTGCCAAAGCCCTGGCTCCTGTTGTCCCTTCGGGCAGCCCTGCTGCCTCCCCAGGGCAGGTTTTGGGGTCGCTCACTCAGCCTTTTAACCATAAGGGCCATGTAAAAAAGCACCAGGGCATGACAGGTGAATTTCCCCATCACATTTTCTGTCATTCCTGCTGGTTTTCAGCCTGGTTTTGCAGGGATTTGTGATGAGTTTAGTTAGTTAAGGCCAGCCCAGATGCTCCAGTTGTGTTTGTGTTTTAGGTGCTGGGAGGGGAGCCGCACACAGCCCTCGTTCAAAATGCTGAGCCTGAGAGGTGTCGGCAGCCTGGACGTGGCTGGCTGCGTGTCAGGCTTCAGCCAAGTCGTGCTCCCATGAGATTCTTTTTTTTTTTTTTTGCCAAGAGCTACCGTCCTTCTGATGTGCAGCATGTTAGAGCAGACTTGAGGGGCTCTTCCATCTCGGAGCGAAATGCGCTTAATAAAACAGAGTTTGTGTTGTCAGGACAGTAATTGAATCAAACCTACTCTCTCTTCTCTCTTACAGGTTACCAGGACAATGCCAGTACTTAGGGCTGCCGGTTGCTGATTACTTCAAACAGTGGATTAATCTGAAAAAGGTACTTTTGTGCGAGCTGCCATGGTCCCTTTCTCCCTCCCTTCGCCTTCCCTTTCTCCTTCTCCTTTCCTCTTTAAGGAGGTGTCTAATAACTACTGCTGTTTTGCATTGAAATGAGTTATTTTCTCAGAGGCTGGGCTGAGCGAGTCCTCTGGCTCCCATTGTATCCCCTCTAATAGAGTCTTACTGTACCTGATGGGATGTGCTCTGCAGCTGGGGAGAATCCCATTGTGGTGGTGTCTCCGTGTAATAGTGGGACGCCGCGAGGCGCCTCTTCAGCAGAGGTTTTGTCGGTCCCAGTGCTGCTCGCTCTGTTTCGGTTTGATGCGTAAGGAGCCTTCAGATCAAATCCTGGTTGATAAACGTGTAAATACTCCGGGCCAAAAATCACCATTTCCCTTTGTGCTTTGGGAGCGGGGAGCTGTCCCAGCAGCACGTCCACCTAAGAGACCTTGTGAGCACTTTGCAAAACCAAATGCCGGGTACTTTGCCGTGTGCCATCTTCTGCTGCTCCACACCTTCTCCAGCTGGCCAAGGAGCAGCCTGCCATGCATCCATGGGTTCTCCTGGCACAGCTGCTCCATCCGCATGGAAAGACAAAGCGGTGCCATGAGCAGCAAATTGGAGTGGAAGGAAGATAAATTAGTGTGATACCGAGCACTGGCAGGGCGAGGGGAGGCTGGGGTAGGTCTAACACGAGTAACTGGGGTGGTCCTTCTGGTTAAACCTTGCAATGAGTAAGATTCCCTTCCCCCATCCCATTTCAGGTTTTATTTGGGTTTCGGTGCCTTTTCCTGATAATAAGGGTCTTAGTAAGTGGAATTTGCTTGTAAACAGCTTGTTGTACTTAGGGGCTTTTCTTTTGTTCTTTTCTTTATTTATTGTTTTAAATGGAAGCGTGAGTGACAGGCTGAGCGGCCGCAGAAGGACAATTTGCATGATCTGTTCCGTCAAATAGGGTAGAACATGAACTTAACAAGGGATGCTGGCAGCACATTCCCAGCTGAACTTGTCAAGGGGTCTTGTATTTCCCTGCTGTCAGAGCAAATCTTTTGGCTGATTGCTGGTCCTTGGTAAATGAAATCTGAAAGCACGTTGGGGCATTGTGCAGTTCAGTGACCATTAATGATCGCCATTTGAAGTTCACTAAACTTGCGGTGAATGGATAGCGGCTCTGTAACCAGCAGGTTGATGGCTTCAGAATAATAATAATAATAAAAAAAAACATCCCCGCATACCCTGATGTTTGCTCAGAAGTAGGTTGGTCCAGCTGTGCTCCTCCTCTGGGCCTCTGGAGGAATGACTTAGGGCTCTTGCCCGTCGCTCGAGGTATGTTCATCTCTCTCCAACCCATCTAATCCCTTAAAAATCTTCAGTTTTTTCTGGCTCTTTCATACGTGATGCCCCTGTTGCACACAGGGTGGTTCCAGGGACCCCGAGCCCATCTGGGAAGTGCCCCATGCTGGAGCAGGAGAGCATGGGACCTCTCCTGTCCTGGGGCTGAGGGCTGCCTCTCCTGGTGCTTGCTCTTAGCCTGGGGTGAGGATCTTCCTATGCTACCGCTGCCCTGCTGTATGTGGCTGTGTGGGGAAACTGCCTGTGTGTTTTTCCAGGAGAGGATTCCCAGCCCAAATAAATAATTCTGTCCAAGCGTCAGGACCCTGTGGGGCCTCAGTTTCTTTTGACTGAGCTCCCAGCATGAGACAAATAAGGACAGATGGGTGAGTGGCCCTCCTGCTCTTCTATTCCTAGCTCAGGCATCCCCTTTTCCCCTCCCTCTGGCAAGCTCCTGACTTAGAAACACCTCCTAGGTTGAGCCTGCCTCCGACCTGATCCACAAAGTGAAGATGTTGGGGGTGGCGCGAAACTGCTAATTTCTAGGTCATGGGTAATGCAGAGACCTGGATCCTTCGGATGTCGAGAAAAGAGCTCATTTGAGTGTAAATGGTGTGTGTGAGTGAGCGCAGCTTCCTGCAGCACTGCCCCACCTGCATCCTGTTCTGTCCTGTGTGTCTGTGCTGGCGAGCAGTTCTCCCTTCTGTGCTGCAGGAGCAGCTCAGGCAAGCGCCCCGTGTCTTGGGTCCTCTTGCAGAGTTCCCAAGATTCACCTCAAATAACTAATTCTGTCCAAGATAAATTCTGGCAAGGTGAAGACAGGAACAGGGCCCTGCTGGCCACCACGCTTACACCAAGTTTGGGTTGATCTCTGCATGCAGGCGGTGGGGAGCACCACCCCCGCCTGCTGTCCTGGTTGGCCTCAGTGTCCTGGATCTGTGCAAAAGCCTCCCGTGGAACACGAAAGGAGAAGAGCTGCTCATGCACTTGACCGAGTTTGCCGAAGTTTTACCTTGCCCTGCGCCCCCCCGGCCTGCTAGCACATCCCTTCCGTCAAGCCTGATCGGTGTTTGCTGACATTTGTAATGTCACTGAGCGATCGCATATCTGTGCTGAGCTGTCAGGGTAGAGCTGACTCGGGGCAGAGAGTTGATCATGTTCTTCCCTTCGACCAGCCAAGCGCGGCAGGAGGCACAGGAGGCTGCCTCTGAATGCCACAACACTTCAGATAGCCCCCGGACCAGCTCGGCGGAGAGTCACCACCCTGCTGGCCACGTTCCCTCGTGTCCCTGCCCCATAAAGCCCTGGGTTAGGGCTGTGCTACAGGACTGAGCTGCACGGCCGGCTGCTCGGGGCTGAAATAGAGCAGGAGGATTGACCTGAAGAGGGTAGCTGCCCCGTGAGCACCATCAGGTAGCATGGATAAATTCATTAATGCTGACCCCAGCACAAGGATCAGCTCACGTTCCTGCTGCCTTTGCTCTTTCAGGAGCGCAAGAGAAACACGGGGAGGAGGAGGAAGGTGTCAAAACAGGCAGACCCGAGGGCTGTGCAGCCCAGCTCCTCTGCCAGAGGGCAGCAGCTGGTGCTGTTGGGGTGCACCAAGGAGAGCGTGGGGCAGGTCAGCTCTCTCTCCTTCCCTGCAATCCTCTTCTGGTGGCTCTCCCCAGAGCACTGTGCCTGTCACCCACTGCCCTTAGGGTGCCTGCCTGCCGTATGTTTCTCTTCCTGAATCTGCTGACACTTTCAGTTTCTCCAGCATCCTGCAGCAAGGAGTTTGGCTGTTTAATTATGCATTAATTATACTGTTTATTCGTATGTTCTGGGAAGATGCATGTCCTTTTGTTTCTTCTGAACCTCCTGCCTGATCTTTTTCTTGGGCCTCAGTCTTGCCTTCTGTGGAAGAGCAAAGAAGTGTTGCCAGTTCTTCTCTCGTGTTATTCCTGACTCAAGACCTCTTCTATGTTCTCGCTTAGCAGTCTCTTTTCCAGCTCAGTGTAAGTTGTTGGAGAGCTGGCACCAAGCCACTTGCTGCTTCTATGGCTCCAGAATTGGGCTGTGGAAGCTATTTTTAACGCTGGGTTCGGTATCCTGATCTGTATCTTCTCTGGACATTATTCAGTTACAGGGTACCGGAGCAGTATTTCATGTAACCCCTAGGGCTTTGTTTTATTTCTTGTTTCTCAAGTGGTATTTATGTAAAAGAAAGAAGGCCATCTCCATAGCATCACAGAGCTGCCCGTTGCTCAGGACAGCCATCCTGGCTGTGTGTGGCCACCTTTTCTTTCTGTTCACAGAGGGCAGCTCATCTGTAGGCACATGATAGCGGTTCCTTTAGGAAGGACAGAGAACCAGCCCCAGCAGACATCCTCCTTACGCCCAGGAGAGCTTTGCCTGCGTTCCCCTGGCAGTTTGAATGCTTTGCCCTCGGGTCAGTTCGGCTTGCTCTGAGGAAGGTGACGATTCAGCTCGGTTCACACACGGGCAGTGCCATGCCCTGTGTCCCCAGGGCCGTTTGCAAGTGGCTCTGTTGCAGGGCTGGGAACTGTTCCTCCTCTGGACACCACGAGGCAGAGCTGACGGAGCCATGGGGAGAACGTGGCTGTGTGTGGAGCTGGCCTTTTCCTGGCCCATCTTCTGCTGATGCTCGGAAGCCACCTGTTAATACACGGGCACAAATGTTTTAAGGTCAGCTCCCTGCTGTGTGAGATCCAGCAGAGGAAGCGGGTAATAGAATGTTTTTGTTAATATTTGGCAACCCGAAATAAACACATCCTGAACAAACAAGGGTTTGCTAACAGCTTGTTGTCTCCGCTGAATGAACAATTCCTTGTGCCTTTGGGATGGGAGGAGGACTTCGCAGGTGCTTGGTGCTAAAGTGTCTCAGGTGCTTTGCACAAAGATCATTGAAATGGATGCTGTTGAGAAGTGGTTTGTGTTTTTGGCCCATGTGCCTGAAAGTTGCTTTCCTAAGTTTAACCTCTTGAGGATTTAGTGCGATGGCCATCAACTGCCCGTTTATTGAGCTACTGGCTATAGGGAATGCAAAATGGCCAATAAGGTCAGAAATGGCAGAGGAGGATTCCTCAGGAAGAGTGCTTCAGGGCTGAAGCATCCAACACATGAGTAGGTGTCACTTGTCTGCAAAGAGCTGCTTATGTCCTCGGTTGGATCAGGCACCTGGTACTCAGCACCCTGCTGGTTTGCTGCATGGCTGAGCACTCCAAGACCCGTCCTTCGTGGCAGCAGTGCTCTTTTGGGCTCCTCATCCCTGGCGGTGGTAAGTCAGTCCCTCAGAAGGCAGGAGTGATAGAGGTTGGGCAAAGGAACAGAAGCCAAAACGTGACTCCGGTGTTAAAGGGAGTACGGGTGTCTTCTCCATGGAAATCAGAATAGAAAAGTGTGCAGTGGCATTGGTTCTTTGCTGGAAGGAAACAGAAAAACTGCTTATAAGAGCAGAATAACCATTTTTAATTATACTTTGTATTTATGGAAAGGCAGAGGGTGCCATATCGCTGAGCAGGATGCTCTTACGGTGCAGTTTTGTGATAGAAGTGAAGTGGTAGCTCCAGGTTGGCATTGTGTGCAGCTGGTTGACAAGAGTTTAAAAAGCGCTGGCTGAGAAGCTGTTGGCTGTTCGTGTGGCTTTTAATAAGTCTTTGAACA